TGATGAAGAAATTTGGTTTAAAAAATTTTTGTGGATGTTTTATAGCAAAAAGTAAAAAATATTGTTTGTTTGTTTTTTTGGTCTTTTTTTTGTTTATAACGCAAAAAAATAAAAAAAAACGCAGAGGTGATCAAATACCACTGAAAGAAAACTCTATTTGTGGGAAAAAATTACATCAATTTCATTTATGTACAGCATTTGCATGACCATGCAATTGTCAGTTAAAATAACGCAGAGCTGTATCACTAAAAATGGCCTAGTCAGGAAGGGGGGTAAGTGGTTAAAGTGTATTTCTTTTTTAATTGTTTGAAAAACCGCTGCTTAAATACCATGTGACATAAAAAATTGCAACACCACCATTTTTTATACTAGGGCCTCTGCTAAAAAATATATAATGTTTGGTAGTTTTCGAGCAAAAAAGTACTGATTTTTACATGTAGGAGATGAATGTCAGACTTGGCCCGGTAGGGAAGTAGGTAAACCTGGTGCAGCATCTGACATGATATATAATAAGGAGAGAGCGGACTGTAAAGAGGGATGACTTATCGCAGTGCTGCTGCTCTTTCCCTGTCCAGTCACAGGCAAGGAGTAAGAAGCTTAGCAGGTAGTATTGTTTTACCCCAGGTTCACACTTAAGTGTTTTTTCCGCAGCGTTTTGCAGAAACGCACTACTGTTCATTTAATATGATTTCCTATGGGACAGGCTCACATCTCCAGGTTTTCACCCGTGCATTTTTTGAAAAGGGTAAGTGACTTTTTTTAAAACAAAAAGTTGCATTTTTGTTCTATAGACTTCAATGGTTGCTGTGTTTTATTGTGTTTTGTTTTAACCTCCCTAGCGGTCTGGTTATGTCCATATTTTTGTGCTCAAAGCAGTACATTTTTTGGGCATGCAAATATGTATTTTTTTTTATTGTAGGCCTGTCATTTTTAGGAATAACTCACTGAAATCTGTCCGAACAAGAGTCTAGTAAACATCCCGGGTATGTTACAATTTGAAACACGAAATCATAAATTATAATTTAATAAATAATCATAAAAAATAATAATATAATAATAAATGTAATTCAATAATATAGTCAAACCAAAAACACTGAAATTTGAAATAGAGTGCCAAGTTCGCACATCACTGAGCAAAGTCGCAAAATCGTTTTCAGTGTCTGATGACGAATTTCCCCACGAATCATTATCACTGATTTTAGTGAATTTAGTGAATGTCACTTTTTGTCATTTTCAAATTTCCCGCGACTCCGTCCCCATACGTCCCAAAGCTCACAGGGGATGGAACCCAGATGACAGATGCCGGCATCCGCCGGAGGACATTACAGGGGACACTGCAGGAGGGACATCGCGGGAGCGCAGGACAAGGTAAGTAATCGAGGGATCCCAGAGCAGAGCTGCATGGTAAGCCAAGTGTAGCTCGGGGTTACCGCTTGTGGTACTGAAACTTTACCCCGAGCTACACTCAGGAATACTGCCAGGAGGGTTAAAGCTCCATGTACACGGGACACTTCTGAATGATGGAAACTGACTGCTGGAAAACATAGGTTAAAAAACGTCTGTATAGCCGCGTTTGCATACCGTGTTTGCATTTAGAAGCGTTTTTTTTTAAAGATAACCTCAGGAGACCTTTCAAAATGCCAAAAATGTACTGAAAAAAACAGTAAAAAAATTAACTATTTCAGACATTTTGAGAGAAATAGAGAGCAGAAGCAGAGAGAGCAGCATGTGTTAAAATTAGCTGTCTTTTTTATCCTTTTTTTGTGGTGTTGGATGTATTCCAGCTTGTTTCTGTGCAGAAATTATTGCAGCAGTGTAACATATTTTCTTTAATGCGAAGCCTCAAACTATGGTGTACCAGGTCCATTTGAGTACCGGGAAAACGCTTTGCATGCATTTTTCATGATGAAAAAAGACTCTGGACAGCATCTGGAAATGGAAGAGTTAAAAAAAATGTCCGAATGCAAATGCTTATAAACGCACTTAGCCACATTTACAAGCGTTTGTCGCTGATAAAATCTACTCCTGAATGCAAATGTGGTGCGTTAAAAAAAAAAAAAGTAAACTCAACTGCCTGTAAACAATGATGTGTACATGGACACATAGGAAAACATTAGGGAGAGTTCAGGGGCTGCTGAAAAAAAAGCAGAAAAGCTCCTAAACGTGAGTTTATCAGCTGCAGTGTACAGGGAGCCTAAATCTTCCCAGCAACCAGAAAAAAACGCATAAAAAACACAAGTGCAGAAATGCAAAACGCAACACAAAACGCACTATGGAAACAGATCAAATGAAAACTGCATAGGTGTGAACCTAGGGTTAGGCTAAATCAAATCACCAAGCTGTTTCTACTGTCTGATGAATATGGATATCTCATAAGTGGATGGACAAATATACTACCCCTTTTGCAGGTAAAACAGCTTCCACAAATATTTTCCATGTGCATAGTCTGGAGTTCATCTTTAAGCGCCATTTTTCTTTGCACCACCCTTTGGATGTTAGCCAGGGAAGGTGGTCTGCAAAAAAAGGGAAAAAAATCACATGAAACCACGCAATGATTGATTACAGTTAGTTGTACTTGGCGGTGTCATTATATTCGATGTCACATTGTTGCCAAAAGATAGTTCAGTGTAAGGCCATTGAGGGAGCGAACTCCTAACCTAAGCAGCTGTAGCCGATGGCTGTGTCTACTTGTTTATGCTTTGGGCAGAAATGACCACTTTATGTTTTTCAGGCAGAATAACCTGACTGCTCAACTCACGGGTCAGTGGCTGGGAAACAAACACACTTCATTTCATATTTCTCTGTGCAGCTTGTCGTGGTACGAATGTCAATGTGGAATCTGAAAGGGCACTTAAGTGATATTTATTGTACAGTGCCAATTCAAGAACAATGCTCTGAAAGCAAAAATATACTTCAGAAAACAAAAACATTCTTATAACCTGTCAAAATAATGGAGTGTTTTTCATGGGCGTGTAAAGCTGAAATAAAAAAAAATGTAGCTCAAAATACATGTAAAAGTATCCATTTTTGAAAACAAACATTTTTATATCAATCTAATGCTACTGTCCACAGTTCCATGTTAGTGGACATTTTAGGTTACGGGAGGTTACATGGATTCATACAAAAGGTGTATAGGACTGATTTATGGATAAAATCTTAATTAACCAGCATTTTGAATACGGCAGCCAGACTCCATCTCCGCCACCCCCCTCTGCCAATCCCTCCACTGGCTTCCGACTGCACAACGGATCAAATTTAAAATCCTAACACTGACGTACAAAGCCGTCCACCACACTGCCCCGAACTACATCACTGACCTAATATCCAAGTACCACCCAACGCGCACACTCCGCTCCTCACAAGACCTCCTTCTCTCTAGTTCCCTGGTCTCCTCCTCCCATGCCCGCCTCCAGGACTTCTCCAGGGTGTCACCCATCCTCTGGAACTCCCTGCCCCAACCCATCAGATTATCACCTACTCTCCTCTCCTTTAGGCGCACCCTGAAAACCCATCTCTTCAGGGAAGCCTACCCCACCCCCTGCTAACTTGCCAACCTCCTCCACTCGTCCTACCACTCCATCCCCCACAGCTATCTCCTCCTGTACCACTATCCCCTCCCTCCTAGATTGTAAGCTCGAAAGAGCAGGGCCCTCAATCCCCTCATGTTTTGCATTGTATTGGTATTGTTATTGTCACATGTTCTGTCCCCCTTTGTAATGTACAGCGCTGAGCGAACTATCGGCGCTTTATAAATACTATATAATAATAATAATTTATTTTTTTTTCTCCTCCTGTTTAACAAATATCCATAAATCTTGTCATTAGTAAATCCATGGTGCTCCAATCAGGTTTCCATTTCCTATTCTCAGTCCCCTGGGTCAGAGCTACTGATTGTGTATGTTCCTTATTATTTGACCCTCTCTGGGAATTTTACCACACTTCCAGATGGAAGTCGTCACAAGGACAGGAACTGGAGGAAAATCCAAAATGTTACAGTTGGCACTGTAATGAGAGTTTTTTTTTTCTTGTATCTTTTAGGTTACTTTGAGGCAAAGCAATGAAGTAGAGACCCTCTGTAACATATTCATGTGCTTTCACTAAACAGTAAAGTCGTACATACCAACTGCTTACAAATGTTGGGAAATGATACACAGCATACAGCATTACAAATATGCTTACAACACTCAAATGCACACATTTTCTATCCTTCCTAGCAAGTAAGCATTGAAAATGGTCTGTCTGTATGCAATAAGCATACATTATAAAGTTACGTAGCTTGGGTTATAGTTTGTGATTTCTGTAACAAACAGAACGAACTCTAGGCTCTACTCGAGCAATTGCAGGAAACCAGGTGCTCTTCTCTGGTGTAGATTTAGTGTCATCCCCAGGTGAAGTTCCTTCTTTGGTCTTGTGAAGGTCCCATAGGCAAGAGACCTTCCTTCTACTCAGGTCTTCTTCTTATTATGGCCTCTTCTTTCTACCCAGATCTTTTTCCAGACTCTTCCCTTCTGTTGGGCACATGGCTGTGTTATCTCCTTTTCTGCTCCCCCATTTCCTGCCAACTGTTCCTGTTTATCTAGCCCATATGAACTAGTTAAACAAGTTCATTAGAATTTACATAGAGGAAGCCCAGCTTCAGAATTCTAGTTGGTAGCTAAAATGTATCATTCCATATATTTTTGTTAAAACAAAAAAAAAAAAATCACTAAAACAGCAATGACAACTCAACTGTGAGTAGAAACCTTCCACTGGGGACACATGTCCTGATGTCAACTTTCAAAGGAGAGTTTTCCTCTCATTTTAGGAAGATTGTTTCTTACTTCCTGTAATGTCTTCAGAACAGGAAGTGAGGGGAAATCTCTCCCACTGGAGACACAGAAAACAATAACAAGCTGACAGATGTTCTAACCCTTCCCAATTCTATTCAAAACAAAAATTGTTTTAGACAGTGTTCCATTTTATAACTATTGATGCATCAGTGCTTATAGAAGTAGCAAGTAAATAGGGTTTATGGCAGGGCTTGAAATTTCAACTCGCCTGCTCACCAATGGCGAGTGGAAATTATGGTGGGGGCGAATGTGTCCCCCAGGGCCGTCTTGCTGAGCAGGCTCGGAGCTCAGGTCGGATCTGTCATTGGTACTGGGAGCCGTCAGACTGCTCAATAGCTGAGCGCAGTGAAAGCAAAGAAGGAGTGTGTGCTGTGCTCTCTGCCTCCTCCTAGAGTGCAGTGCCCGGACCTGTGAGTGAACAACGAAGTACTGCACATTTTTATGGTGTGTGTGTGTGTGTGTGTACGTGTACGTGTACATGTGTGTGTGTCTGTGTGTGTCTGTGTATGCATGTACAATTGTACATGTGTCTGTGTGTATGTACATGTGTGTATCTCTACATGTGTCTGCGTGTATGTACATGTATGTGTGTGTACATGTGTCTGTGTGTATGTACGTACATGTGTCTGTGTGTACATGTGTCTGTGTATGTGTGTACATGTGTCTGTGTATGTATGTACATGTGTCTGTGTATGTATGTACATGTGTCTGTGTGTATATACATGTGTACATGTGTCTGTGTGTGTGTATTTCTGTGTATGTACATGTATCTGTGTGTATGCAAGTCTGTACGTGCCTGTGTGTGTATGCACATGTGTCTGTATGTGTGTGTGTGTACATGTGTCTCTGTGCGTGTGTGTACATGTTTCTGTGTGTGTATGTGTATGTACATGTCTGTGTGTGCCTGGGAATTAAGGACTTAGCCGCATTAAAAAGGTGCGGCACCAAGTATTTCTTTTACAATTTCAGGGAATACTCAGAAATATGAAGGAGGCAACATTCAGGGGTTAATGGCAATGCAGTCCCCGTAATAGAGTAGATCAGCTCTCGAACATCATCCCAAAATGGCTTGAGCCATGGGCCTTACCACCAAACATGAAACAAGGATCCCTCAGCTGACTCACAGCACCAGCACAAGCCTGACGTTTTTGGGAACCACCTCTTTAACCTGTCCGGCATAGCGTACCAACGCATTAACAATTTTAGGAGGTTTCTTGAGTCCTGGTGCTAATGGAGCATTTGTGAACAAAGATGCAAGCTTTACTCCACTGGTCATCGGAGAACTCTGCCTGAAAGGCTGATTCCCAACCTAGCCGAAAATTGTTGGGGGTGGCAGAGGGATTGTTTTGAAGCCAAGAATAGGCCAAAGAGGTAGTTTTGTCAATGGGTTTCCCTTTCAGACATAGCGTTTCTAGGGTCGTAAGAGGTCTGGAAAAGGCTGCCTTCTGTCTGTGGTTCGTCAAGTAATTGTGTATTTGAAAATAAGTCCAGTATGGAAGAGAAGCCTGACCACAAATCTCCTGAAGCTTACCTTTGGACCTAACCCCCCCTCGCTTAAAACATTGAGTCGCCAACAAAGGCAGGCCCGACCCGTGCAATGGAATCACTCCACACTCCAACGCAGGGGGAAACTCAGGGTTGTCAGCAATGGGGGTGAGGGGACCTGGAGCACAAACAAAACCCTCAACCTTCGCAAGATCATGATATGCATCTAAAGTCGCACCAATTAGGGGATGAGCCAACAAATGCTTGGGTAGACATTGACATCCATGGTGAGAGTCTTAAAGGAGCTGAAGAGTAGGAGCTTTCATGGGAAACCCAGTGTTTATGTGTGGAATGACAATTCCAGTCTATGATTCTGGTAATGTGAGTAGCTTAATAGTACTTTTTAAAGTCTGGCAACCCCATACGCCCGGAACCTTTAGTGCGCATGATTAGCTGAAATCGAATCCACGTTTTTTTATTGGCCCACATAAAGGCCCTCTGAGCCTGTTGTAATTGCTTAAAAAAAGATGGAAGGGAGCCTAATAGGGAGAGCATTCATACAATACAGTATCCAAGGAAGAATATTAATTTTGATGATTGCTGCTCTGCCAAACCAGGAGAAGGTTTTTGCATGCCAAATTTTGAGATCGTTCCGAATCTTGCGTAATAAGGGGACAAACTTTTGTGTGTATAAATCCTCCAGATCTGGAGTAAGCCATATGCCCAAATATTTTTTAGGGCTATAGGGACCCACTTGAAAGAGCAATTTCGCTTAATGAGGTCTAAGGAAGGAGGGCTTACGGTCAAATTCAAAGCCTCGGATTTAGAGTAATTAATTTTCAAATTCGAGAGAAAATGGTAGTGATTAAATAAGCTCAAAAGGTTAGGTACAGATATGTTGGGTTGAGATATGAAAAATAGCAGGTCATCCGCGTATGCAGCTGTTTTATAAGTCTTATTGTTAATTTGAAAGCCATGAATCGCCTCATTTTGCTGAACCAGCCAAATGAAGGGTTCAAGAGTGAGAATGAACAGAAGAGGAGACAGAGGACAACCCTGTCTCGTTCCATTCTTAATAGTAATTGTGTCAGAGAGGGTGCCATTGACATTGATCTTAGCCGTGGGGTTTTGGTACAGAGCAGCAATCCAGTTCAGCATGTTAGGTGCCAACCCAATGTGCGCACGCGTAGCAAACATGAAATCCCAAAATACACGATCGAAGGCCTTCTCCGCATCAGTAGAGAGGAGAAGGCCTTCGAAGCCCTCAGCACGCGCCCTATAAATCAGGTTGAGGGCCTTGACAATATTGTCACATGCTTCCCTAACCGGCATAAAACCAACTTGTTCCGGGCCAATGATATCAGAGAGTTAGGGCCTGAATCGGTTAGCCAGTATTTTTGCACCAATTGTATGTCTGTGTTTAGTAGGGAAATAGGTCTGTAACTCATGCATTCAGCAGGGTCTTTGTCCTTTTTGGGGATGACAGTAATATGAGCAAGAGCAAAAGAGGGGGGCATTGGCTCTGCTGTTGTCAAAGAGTAGACTCTTTGTTCTTTCTCCAGGAAAAAAAACAATAAAGAAAAAAATCACAAAAGCAAAAAAAAAGCTGGATTCATTACAATTTTAACAGATAGGAAGTGTTGTAACATTTGACATTCCTGTGCAAAAATATTGACTTTCACACATACCAATCTTTGGGATAAATAAATATTGAGTTAATGTTTGAAAGAGACAGTAACTACTTACTGGAAAAAGCTAACATGTTTTTTGGATGTAACACAGGTTTATTGTTCATGACTGATAAAAGAAAATACTAAAAAAAAAAAAAAAAAGTATGTGGCATATAAGGCTTACTTAGGCCCAAATTTGTGGAAAGACCTCCTTTACCTGTGATGATGCTGGGATATATTCAAGGTGGGCCTTTTACATTTTAGTATTTATTAGTGATGAGAAGACTGGTTGTCTCACAGTGATTGCCAATATTCTGGGTGAATCCATTTGCTCAACCATGAACAGGATTGGGCCCAAAATGTAACTTTGGGGAATGTGAAATACACATTTAAATCAGGACTCAAAGCATCTGTGATGATAATTAAATTTGACTTTCCACAAAATAGTCAAGTTGATAGCAGGGACAGTCACACATTTACATCTCATGTCTGTGTTAGGAAGCAAAAAAGGTACACACCAAAAAATAAAAAAAACAAGTTCAGGATGCACTAACACAAAGCAGACCAGCTTCAATGGAATGCTAAAACATCTTGGCCAGGATATGCACAAGCCAGTTAAGGAAGTTAGAAAATCTGTATATAGCCCTACAGAACATACAGTCCACAAGTGCTTTCTGCAACCAGGAAACAGGAAACTTTATTACAGAGAAAAGTCATAGAGTATACAGTACCATAGATGCAACTACAAACTTATAAACACTGCCTTCTACTGACTGAAGAATATATCTCCACTGAATACTGACGTTGTTGCACAAAATACATGATCACTGTATTCCAACAAATGAGCTTGGTTGTAATAGCTGTTGGAAGCTCCATTGAGCCAGAGACTCCTAATGCAGACATGTCATAAAAAATATGTCATAAAATTATCTAGGAGCAATATACATCTGTAGGCCTGGTTTTATTTGACCTGAAATTGCACTTTGCTACATCTCAACTCTGTTCATATTCCATAACAGTGGCGGACTGACAACTCATGGGGCCCCCGGGCAATAGGAAATCATGGGGCCCCTGTGTCCTTGCCCACACTCAAACCACACCTAAAAAAGCCTATGAAAGGTACCAGGGGCATCTCATGGGGCCCCCTAGTGACCCTGGGCCCTCAGGCAGTGCCCGAGTGCCTAAATGGTCAGTCCGCCCCTGTTCCATAATTATTTGTCCTGTGTGTTACATTTATATGTAGTGATTACACTGGAGAATGAGAAGATGCCAATCAGTTAGACACCAATACCCGAATGAAAAATTTAAGTAGTGAACAGGTAGCCTGTACTCACTTTCTTCTTCTCAAGGCTTAATTTTCAGTTTTGGCTGGAGTCTACCCTTAATGTGTCTCTAGGATCTCTAGGATTTTTAGTTTTGGATGTGGTAAGGAATGGTCAGTACCGCTGTTAGTTTTTTCCTGTCTGTGTCCCACTGGGGACACAGACATTGACATTGTCACTGGAACAGGTGTCTCAATTTTCCAGCTCATGGGACAGCAATCTAAATGTCAGCATATTGAAAGTGGATTCCGCTAGGGTAGGTTAAGACTACAGCTAACCCTTTACACACACAAACAGTAGCCACCACTACATGTTAGTGGAAACATGCACTATTCAGAGCATCTGCTCTATCAAATCTGAATTGTCTGTGATACTTGCTGTAACAACCAGACAGGAATGTAATAATGTTTTAAAATGTGATAGTCCTCACAAAGGCAATTTCTAAATTTCTAATTTAGAGAATTTAGAGATTCAGTTTAGCTATTTAAAATATAATTTTTAATGAAATGAAACACAGTGCAATAAAATATTTACAGACAAGATATTGCAAAACAGACATTACTGTGTTCTGTAGGGACAAAGCAGCCAGCTGAAGGAGCCACAGTGCCCAGCAAGGGAACCACTATCTGACACACCTGATTGTGTAGTATAGCAGTGGTGCTGGGAGCTTTCTTGGAGAATGAAGATTTAAAACTACTCTCCTGGCTTCCGCACAGACATGCACCCCCTCCACCAACACCCTCTAATTAAATGCTGCCATAAAAAATCCTACCTAAATGTTTCTTTTACTTACCTAAATAGATATTCCCCAAAGGAAAAGTATATTGGACTTTTCAGGCAACATAAAACAAGGGTATAAAAAAAAACAGAATTTTATTATTACAAATTTAAAAACATTACATCATCTAGAGACCCAAAACCATTAAAATTCAAAAGCAGTGGCTGAGTACATCTTACAAATTACAAAAGTTGATCAAAATATGTGGACATATATCCTCCATTGGACAGTGAGGAGGCGGTATGAATGCAACAGCAAGATACCCAAGATACACTATATTGCCAAAAGTATTGGGACACCTGCAGGGGCGGACTGACAACTCATGGGGCCCCCGGGCAACAGGGGATCATAAGGCCCCTGTGTCCTTGCCCAAACTCAAAAAAGTCTATGAAAAAGGTACCAGGGGCATCTCATGGGGCCCCCTACTGACCCCAGGCCCTCGGGCAGTTTCCAAATGGTCACTCCGCCCCTGGACGCCTGCCTTTACACGCACATGAACTTTAATGGCATCCCAGTCTTAGTCCATAGGGTTCAATATTGAGTCGGCCCACCCTTTGCAGCTATAATATCTTTAACTCTTCTGGGAAGGCTTTTCACAAGGAGTGTGTCTATGAGAATGTTTCACCATTATTCCAGAAACGCATTTGTTTGGTCAGGCACTGATGTCAGACAAGAAGGCCTGGCTGGCAGTCTCTACTCTATTTCATCCCAGAGGTGTTCTATCGGGTTGAGGTCAGAACTCTACCCCAAACTCACTCATTCATGGACCTTGCTTTGTGCACAGGTGCGCAGTCATGTTGGAACAGGAAGGGGCCATCTCCAAACTTTTCCTACAAAGTTGGGAGCTTGGCATGCTGACGCCTTAAGAGTTCCCTTCCCTGAAACTAAGGGGCCAAGCCCAAGCCCTGGAAAATAACCCCACACCATAATCGCCCCTCCAGCAAACTTTACACTTGGCACAATGCAGTCAGGCAAGTACCATTCTCCTGGCAAGCGCCAAACCCAGACATGTCCATGGGATTGCCAGGCAGAGAAGCTTTGCCGCCTCCTCACTGTCCAACGGAGGATATATGTCCACATATTTTGATCAACTTTTGTAATTTGTAAGATGTACTCAGCCACTGTTTTTAAATTTTAATAGTTTTGAGTCTCTAGATCAGCCTTTCTCAACCAGGGTGCCCAGGCACCCTGAGGTGCCTTGAGGTTTCTTCAGGGGTGCCTTGGCAAAATGTATAGAGATTGCCCAAAACATGTATACAAGCCAGTAGGTGGAACAAGCCTGCCTTTTAGTAGTTACACAAAGCCACATGTTTTCATTGTGTACCATTACTACCGACTAGCCGCTGACGTCCTGACAACCAATGACATCATCAGTTGATAAGGAGGATGTCAGCTGCCTGCACAGCATACTAGTTTGACCCTCCCCTTCCTCTCTCCATCAGTGCTGGGGTCACATTGGCTCAGTGATGAAGAAAAACCGAGGGAGAAGAGAAACATTGGAATACTAGTCAGTACCAGTGTGCAAAAGTGCATTTGCTTTGGAAGAATAAATCACCTCTAATGTTGGGTGTCCTACATGTGTGGATGTTGTTGCATTATATAAAACTATTAGGATAGTTTTCACATTTTAGAATGGGGTGACAGTTTAAAATTATGGACAGTCTAGAGGCCCCCATTTTAGAATGGGGTGCCTTGGGACTGTCCATAATTTTAAAGGATGCCTTGGGACTGTCCATAATATAAAGGGTGCCTCGGGACTGTCCATAATTTTAAAGGGTGCCTCAGGACTGTCCATAATTTTAAAGGGTGCCTTGACTGAAAAAAGGTTGAGAACCGCTGCTCTAGATGATGTAATGTTTTTACATTTGTAATAATAAAATTATGGTTTTTTATATCCATGTTTTATGTTGCTTGAAAAGTCCTATATACTTTTTCTTTGGGGAATATCTATTTACACACTGTCATGGGATGTTGGCAACAATCTAGTGACTCCTGAGGTGACTATACAATTTTTACTTACCTAAATCTATGGTCATGTGGAGTTAGTCTCAGCACTACTTCTTTATGCAAGAGATTGAGTTTTTATTTTGGGTGTTCAATGCACTGCCTGTGTGATGTGGACACTTCCTATTGGCTTTCCAGTGGTGGGGTCCTCTCAAGATCTCAAAGAGGATGATGTTGATAGAAGAGCAGTTGTGGGAACCACTCAACTCAAGCACATCCGCAGTGCTAGATTACCAGTCCCCTGCACCTGGAAACACCGGGGCATGGACAGTAGACATAGGTAAGTATATCCCTGCTCCCAAAGGTAGGTAAAAAAATCAGGGTGGATTTGATTTAAATCAAACTGATTTAAATCACGATTTAAATCACTAGTCAGTAAGGCTTGATTTAAATCATAGTTTTCTACATAGACTAATTCTTGCTGGTATAACTTTAATATGCAAGTAGATGAAGATTTTTAGAATAACAACTTTTCATATTAGTTTTTTTTATCCCCAGTTTAATAGGTTAATCATTCATATTTGGACAACTTTTCTGTTGTACTTAGGAAGGAGAAAAATAATCATTACCTTAATAATAACAATTTAAATAGATTTATTCATCTGAAACAATAACATTACAGCATATGGTATTTGCTTAAACAAACATCCATGTTTGTTAACTAATTTGGCTAAACAAAAATATATATATTTTAAGAAACTTGGACTGTCAGCCCCTTCCTCCTCACACTTAGTTTCACTTTCTTCTTGTGCAGATCTATTCCACTCCAATCAGAAAAATATTGTTTCTATTCTATTCACTGAACTTCTTGAAACTTAGCACTGAAGGGGTTGATTCTGTATTCATAGGTTTGTAGAAGTTAGGATTAAGGTCTTTTTCTTAACTCTGTTCATGTTATAACATTTTTGCTGTGAAGAAGAGGCATGTGATCTCCGCTGAGTCAAATTCAGTTTTGAGAACTGCAAAAGTAAACCAATCATCTGTGATAATATCTTGTAGGCAGAGAAACTGCCCAATAATCTTACAAAAACCTCTGGAAGAGCATGACATTGTGAATGGATTAATGGAATTTATTTACCAAAAAAATTAAACATATACAGCCTTATTCTACATAATTAAAAAAAAACTAATCTTTATTTCATGAGGGAATAACCTTTGGATGGTAATATATTTTTCTCAAAAAGCATTTTATACAAAAAAATCCGATTTAAATAAAAAAAATCAGATTTAAATTAAAAAAATCAGATTTTTTTAAAAAAAATCATTGATTTTTATCCACCCTGAAAAAAATGTCTGAATGAGTAGTGGGGGGGGGGGGGGGGGGTTAGAAGGGGGTTCATTTTTGCCTGGAATTGGACCAAAACACATCATCTGTTGTAAAGTGAAGTAATAAATCTTTTTTATTTATTTTATTTTAATGTATATATTTATTTTGAGACAGGATCACTCTAAGGGACCACTAGGCAAGAAGAAGAATGAGACCAAGCCTAACTTCTCCAGCAACAGTCAACATTTGCATACACAATCAGCTATCTATAACTTTGGATCTACAGATTATTTTGACATGTGGTTTTTACACTTTTAATCTTTTGCGCTTTTCATCATATGCTCAGCTTAAATGGCTCAGGTTTATGATGGATTTACTTCAGTGTCTGAATTCACAGTGAGAAAGGAAGCAAATCACAGCTTTCACCCAGCCTGCCATGGGTGTCAGACCTTTGTGAGACAACTTGACTTAGAAAACAAACATGAGCAGTCTCTTCCTGGCACACAGTAGTCATGCACACACCCATCTTCTTACAGACAGTCACAGGATTATCATGACCCGATCTTGTGATATATGCTCTTCTCTTAATAGCTGCTTTTTCAACGCCAGCATTTATACACTGTTGGCTCCTATGGGTTACACATTAACCTTGCAGCTTGGCTGCCAACATGTTTTAATTTTAACATAGAGCCTATAAAGAAGGCTTTAATAGCACGCAGATGGTTATGCAGCAAATGCCCCAATGACTCCAGACAGTAATTTGAACTGTCAGCAACAGCCGTGGTGTTAATTATTGAAAAATTGCTGGGATTTTCATTTTGTCCATTACGTTTTCCTGTTCTTCAGAACCAAGCCCTTAGGTAACCTTATTCCAAGCAGTCTTTTGATCATCATGTGAGTTAAATGTACCAGCCAGCCTCACCTCAAGACAAACTCTGAAGAAAAATAGATAATGTTAAAGGAGAACGCTAGCCAAATGTAGAAATCTTAAAAATATATTTATTTAAAAAAAAAAGGGCTATTTATTTAAAAAAAAAGTACTATAACCAGAAAAAAAACACTAATAAAATTATACCTTAGATTGTGCGCCCCATGAGGGCCTGATGTGAATGTACAATGGGTATGTAAAGTGCTGCGTAAATTGACGGCGCTATATAAGTACCTAAAATAAATAAATAAATATCAGGTAGGTCTTTCTTGCTCTGATTGCACGCTCAGTGCCTGCTATAAATGCTGGAAAACCTTCAACAGGAGATAACAACTGGCCACACGCCAGTAGAATTTAGTTTGAAAATACAACTTTTTGGAATCTTTATTGACTTGTGCTTTATCTATGTAGGGCAAAGCTACAAGTTGCCATTAATGCCCCCCTCCCCAGCAATACTTAATCACCTTTCCTTTACCTCCTCACTGCTAGAAGAAGCGTTAAAGTGGGAAGAAAGATGGTCCTAAGTAAGCTTTGAGGCACTCAGAGAGAGCTTACACACAGCTGATAACTGCCTCCCTGTTTCCATGTGACAGTGCTGGACCAATCACAAAGCATCAGCACTAAAACCTAGAACCCACTCCTCCATACCTGGAAGAACCAGGTATATTCTGTATTATTATAATTATACAGCGCCAACAGTTTGCTCAGCGCTTTACAAAATGAAGGTAGACATTACAGTTACAATACAATTTGGTAGAAGAGGAATCAGAGGGCCCTGCTCATTAGAGCTTACAATCTAAGAGGGAGGGTCAAGTGATACAAAAGGTAACAGCTGTCGGGGATGAGCTGATGGAGATTCATAGGTGTTAAATGGATTAAGTATATGGTAAATATATGCAGCTGGGGAGGGAGGAGGTAACTTTTACATTACTCTGCATAGACTTAGCATAGGTTTACTTTAAGAAATTAAAGCGAACCTTCATTCCCATAATGCACTTTACACTGTTATCCACCCCCCCTCCTCACTAAAAATTTAACTTTTTTATGCTCTGGCCCACCCCCCTGCCTCCATGCAATTTCCTTTGATCTAGAAGCCTGCCGTGATATGCATATCACATATCCTGGAAGGCATCAGATTCAATAGAGCAGCTTGGGGAGGATGAACCTGTGGCTGAAGAAAGTGAATTTGGAGAATCTTCATGAGGTAGCTGGCTACCTGAACCAGGAAGAGTCAGCTCCCAGTGACAGCACAGAGGAAGATGGCCGCATGGAATCTGACCTACCACTACAGATTGGCAGGTCACAGTTGGACAATGGTGGATTCATTGGGTCAGTCAGTGAGAAACACAACTTACGACACGGGGAGGGGAGGGAATTCCTCTTCTTTGTCACTCAACTTCAGCTACACTGTACTAGAATATTTCTATTCTTTTAGTCACAAAAACAGTAGCTAAAAATGAGCACCATTAAAATTTAGATATAAAGTATCTATGAGGAAAAACCTTTTCCACACACCCAACCTCAGCATCCTCTTATTTTAGCTGTGGTCAAAAGACAACCCATAAAATGGCTATTATTCTTATTCCTTGTAGTTGAAGATTATCCATACACAGTCCAGGTGATTGTCATTTGTATTCAAAATATGTAATTAGACTGATGACCGTCCAGAACCCTCCTTCACATCCTGCACACTACAGAAATGATACCTGCAATTACTGTTTTTTATTTGATAACACTGTTCAACAAATTTTTATTTTTTGCCAGTTTTGGAAACAAAAGGATCCATTTCTTAATGAATTTCACATCCTGAGTTCAAATATAACAATGAAATTTGTCAATTGGCTCTAGTTTTTCTGTAAACGGAAAGTTTTCTACTATAGGCGTAATGACTACATAATGCACAATAATTATATAGATAGATGTCTTTCCACAAATATAAAGCAAGTGATATTGACTACATAACAAAGCCTAAATGGCATAATATATTGCATAGGATTACCAAGAAAAATTATAGCCATAAGCTAAGTTGAATCATTTTAATACTTAGGATTCTCACTAGTTTTGTCTTCAGTTTGTGTCGGTTTTGCTTCTCTTGGCTTTTCTCTTGTATTCGAGGAAAGGGCTATCTCTTACAACTGCACGTGACTACACGCTTCAGGTTCTTCCTCACTTGACTCAACCACGAAGGATTCTGGTGCTTTAGGAATTGGTAGCCCCTCTCCATGAGGAACTGGACGTATTGCCGATGGAATATTTGGATAGTGCACAGATAACTTTTTCTTCTTATTTAGCCCTTTTACAATTGGAGGCACCATACAAAAGTAACAATTACTAACATGATCTGTTGGCTCTCTCCAAATCATTGGCACAGCGAAAGGCATAGATGCCTTTTTCCTATTCAACCATTGCTCCAGTGCCATCCCACAAGAATTGCAGCATATATGTGGTGCCCAGCTCTTGTCCTGGTCTCCTATCTTGCAGCCAAAATACAAGTTGTAGGCTTTCTTAATCATTCCTGTTATCCTCCTTTTTTGTGAGATAAAAGTTATTTCACCGCAGATATAGCAGAAATTATCTGCTTTATTCACACAAGTTCGAGGCATTACTGAGTAGCCTATATAAGCATAAAACGAAATGTAAAGACGCTGTCGAACTACAATCAGCTACAGATACTGCAGCTTTTATGCAGTGAAGTGATGCAATTAAAGGCTAATATTGCATCATCTCAGTATACATGCAATTTTCTATTGGTCACCAGTATCAATTGCACAATATGCAGCTGAAGTTGCATCATAATTTTGAATGGCTTACGTCA